AGTGGTCCCGCTCATCATCCGCGCAGCCCTCAGGCACCAGCCCCTCCTGCTGACACTTGAGCAGCCACAGTGGGGCGCCATCCACCAGCTCCTTCCAGCGCAGGCACACCAGACGGCAGGCCTGCACCAGCTCCGAGGCTGGCAGCTCGGCCAGCACTCGCAGCAGCAGCGGTTCAGGCAGCTGGGCCAGGTACTCGCCCGCCTCCGCCTCTTCCTCCTCCTCCTCCTCCTCCTCCCGGGGCTGCTCCTCTGCACTCGCCTCGGCACCCGCCTCCTCTGGCTGCTCCTCTGGGCTCGTCTCTTCGGGGTGGCTCACACTCTCTGAGGGCCGGGGAGTAAGGGAAAGCTGAGACTTCCAAACTGACCCCTCCACGTCCCACTCTGAGGCACCACAGCCGGGGCCAGAAGTTCTTAACCGGGACTCGCTGGCATTGCCTACAATCCCAGCACTTGAGAGGCAGAGGACAAATGTATCTCTGCGAAGGCCAGCCTGCCCTATGTAAAGAGTTACAGTAAGACTACACAGTGGACCCGTCTGTCTGTCTCTCTCTGTCTCTCTCTGTCTCTGTCTCTCTGTCTCTGTCTCTCTGTCTCTCTCTCTCTCTCTCTCTCTCTCTCTCACACACACACACACACACACACACACACACACACACACAGGAGTGGCGGAGAGTGAGCCCTAAACTGTGCCCAGGGAGGAAGCCCAAGGAGGTAGAGCCACAGATAGTCCCCCTAAACCAGAAGAATTCCTTCAGCTGCCGCTTCTCCCACAGGGGTAGTAGACACCTACAAGGATCTGGGGTTACTGATGTCCTTGTACTTATGGGTCAGGTCTCCTAAATACCCTCCTAGACCTCAAGGGTCCCTTGCCTCCTCTGGGGAGCCTTCCTGGACATAACTTTAGCATACCCTCTCACAGTCCAAGCTCAAAAGCATTCAAAGACTTCCTAGCTTTTGTTGCTGGTCTGGTTGTTTAATAAATCCCTTTGTGTACAATGGACTGACCACCGTAAGAACCAGGCCTGGGAGACTTCCTAGTGCCTAGCCCCAGCGTAGAGTCAGGAGTCACTGTATTTTACCACCACTTAGCAAGAGTGACATACTGCTCGGAGCACTTGAATTACTTCCTGAACCCCCAAACCACCTCTTCCAGGTTGGCCCTACATCTATTTTATGGAGAGACAGAGGTGACAAGGTCCAGGGTCACCCAACTTATAAGTACTTGGAGCTTGTGTTTGAACTCATTCGGTCCAACACAGGAACCAGCTTTAACAGCTGTGGTGTTACCAAAAGAATGTGCTGAGCCAGGGGGTGGTGGTGCACGCCTTTAATCCCAGCACACTTGAAGCAGAGACAAGTGGATCTCTGTGAGTTCGAGGCCAGCCTGGTCTACAGAGTGAGTTCCAGAACAGCCAGAACTACACAGAGAAACCCTGTCTCAAAAAACCAAAGCAACAACAACAACAACAAAAGAATTTGTTGAATTAGTACTCTGGTCTTGTTTGAGTTTATGTTGTTGTTTTGTGGTTTTTTTGTTTTTGTTTTTGTTTGTTTGTTTTTTGGAGACAGGGTTTCTCTGTATAGCCCTGGCTGTCCTGGATCTCACTCTGTAGACCAGACTGGCCTTGAACTCACGAAGATCTGCCTGTCTCTGCCTCCTGAGTGCTGGGATTAAAGGTATGCACCTCCACTGCCCGGTCTAGGTCTTGGTTTGATACTGTGGATGAAAATGCTGAGGTTGGAAAATGTTAAGTGACTTAGTGTAGGTCCCTCTGGCAATATTGGGGTAGAGGACCCAAGGACTCAGGGTGGGGACAATAGGCTAGAGATCCAGCTGTCTCTACCCAGCCAGTGTTGTAAGGGGGGTGGGGGGGATAGGAAACCAACAGAGAAAGAGGTACTGGGTGATTGCATAAGAGTCTCCCCCCCTTTTCCATCCCTCACCCTCAGCCTCCTCATCTGTGAAATGGGGTCATCATTGTGCCAGACCATCAGATCATACTGATATTCATCCCCTCCCCACAGAGGAGCAAGGGTACAGAGACAGCCACTCCTGCTAAGTCCGTGGGAACTCCTGACCCCATGGTAGGGGCGAGACACCAGAAAGGAAGCAGTGTCTCTCAGGCAGAGTTCTTGAGGTCAGTTCACTGCACACCCAGGACAGTATGGGCAGCTGGGTATCACTTGGATCTCAGCCCGCCTCATCTGGGCCATGGAAGCCTTGAGTAAGCAGACACTGAGTGCCTGGTATCTCTCAAGGAGAGAGGGCCAGTGCGGAGAGGACCCAGCCAACCTGGATAATAGAGTCGCTTCTTTCAGAGTTCCTGAAGACTGGACCCTGAAAATCCAAGGCAGTCAGGGAGCAGGCCCACGTCAGGGGAGGGTACAGATGGCCTATTCCCCAAACCTCCTCTAATGGGATACAGCCAGCAATCCCCACACTGACAGCATTGGAAAGCTGAATCAGGATTTCCCCTCTTTCTTTAGAGCACACCGAGAGCTCTCCATCAGCCATGGTGATTCTTTCCCTGCATTTCTAGCATCTTTTTGGTCACATTTTCATATGTAGGAGTTACTCCTCCATCGGCAACAAGGGAACTGGGCCTCAAAGAGTCCTAGCCCGCCTCCCAGGTCCCACCACAGGACAGCATCAAACAGAGAGGAAAATGCCTGTCCATTCTGCCTCCCACAGCTCTCTGGAGAGCTGGGCCCAATGTCCTCACCTCTCCACCACCACCCCAGCCCTGCCCTGGCCCTGTCCATTCTGCCTCCCACAGCTCTCTGGAGAGCTGGGCCCAATGTCCTCACCTCTCCACCACCAGCCCAGCCCTGCCCGGGCCCCAGTGGATACCTGATGCTCCCCGGAAAGATGCACCTCACCCGGTCCTCTCTCCTGGCCCCTAGGCCTGGCATTGAGGCCCCAGATCCGATTACAGCCCCCCCCCCCCCGCCCCCTCGAACACAAGTTGCCACATTGTTGCTGAAGGAAAGTTATCTAGCCCTGGACGCTGACCCCACGCTGACTCACTCACCTGGATTGGGCCCCTGAGTCCAGGGACTTCCTGGGCCCTGGGGGGAAACAGGAGCCTATTCTGGGGCCCTGGAGATGATATTGATGGGGAATTGGGAGTTGGAAGGGGGGTCAGGGATGGAAGGAAGCCTGGCCACCTTAGAGCGCATCTGTTCCCTTGCCTCCCCTAAAGTGGTTTGTGAGGAAGGGGTGGGGGGTCATGGCAGGCAGGTTTGCACCCCAGCCTGACTCAGCAAGCAACCCCCTACAGGCCCATCGGGGAGCTGGAGGGGGAAGGGGTGGGGTCTTCGGTGCCAGGAAAGATGACTGGACAAAAGATCCTTGAGGACCCAGAGTATCGGTCAAAAGCAGCGCAACTCTTCCTCACCACTAGCCTGGTCCCCATGGAGCAGCCCACTACCGCGACCCAAGGCGGCCCTCCAAAGGAGGGAATCCCTCAGGAATCTACGATGGATGCAAGGTGAGGCTGGTAAGCCCCGGGACCCGGCAGGGACTCCGGAGGCTCATGAGAAAGGGAGGGCAGGCAGAGCTAGCAAAAGGAAGCTGATGGAAGCAAAAGCTTCCAAGAACCCAGCTCTCAAACCCCGGGAAGTCTGCAGCCTGGTATGCCAGCGTCCTCCGATGCCATTTTGGAGACCCAGGCGTCCTCCTCCCTCCACACCAAGACCCAGGCAGAAAACTGCTCCCTAGACTGTCTCAGGGGTTTTGCTGTCGCGAAAGTTTGAGCCCCGTCTGGGGCGCTCGTCCTCCCTGTCTCCCCGGTCTGGCGCGAGCCGGGCCGGCTACAGCTACCTGGATCACCATCTCCATCCATCGCTGCAGCGTGGTCGACAGAGGGGAGCCGGAGCGCTGCGGGTGGCGAGTTCTGGAGCTGCCCGCGTCAACCGGGTCGGTGCTGCCGCGCCTCTTAAAGGCCCCGCGCGCCCCGCCCCGCCTCTGACCCCGCGCTGGGGGCCGGGAGCCCCGCGCCCCCGGAGCCCAAGGTGCGGCTTCCAGGAGGAGCCGGATTCTGGGGAGGGGCAGAGGTAGCCACGGGATGGGTGGGCTCCGGGTGCGCCTGGAGGGTGATTGCGGGAGGACACCAGGGGTCTGGCAGCTGGGGTGTAGAGGGTGCGGGCGCCAGGCCAAGTGGATTTGGGGGTATCAGCGACTTCCCGCCCCCCCAGGTAATTTTCCTATGCTGCGGAGGGGGCACGTTCCCGGGGTGCGCGGGTGAGGCGGGGCCTGGAGGAATTGTGGGCGGGGCCGCATCCTGGGCCAACACTGACAGAAAGGCGCAGTGCCAAGACCCGTAGGGCAGCAGGACCAGACGCGGGTGACAGGAAAAATGGGTGGGGCGGGGGCGTGGTCTGCCAGACAGTGGGCGGGTCGCACCCCGGGCCACCATTGGCACCGATGGCTCAGCCCCAAGAAGCGGGGGTTTGGCGCAGCGCAGCCTAACGCGGGTGACAAGGAGAATGGGGAGGGCGGGACCAATGTTGTGAGGCGGAGTTGGGGCGGGGTCTGGTGAGCAGTGGGCGGGGCCGTGTTCTGGGTGCCGTTCCATGGCCAGGGCACAACCAAGCGAAGGTGACCGAAGGAGGGGCTCACTGAGCGCCCCGGCAGGGAGAGCATTGGCGAGTAGTGGCCAGGTCTGTATCCCTGGCCACGCAGGCCCGGGCTGTACAGCCTCACGGCCTGGCGGAATCGCACAGCTCTCTGGATCTCAGGTGACCGCGGGAGGGAAAGCACGCAGCGTGGGGACGAAGACGCGGTGGGCAGGGACCTAGCGGGGGAAGGTGGGTGCCTTTCTGCGATCCTGAGGGCCTAACGCCTTTGAGGCCCAGGCCTCGGGGCTTACCCCACTGCACTGTGAGGCTTCGAGGACCTGGGCTGGGGAGGCAATCGATGCTCAGAGGTCTGAATCTCGTCTTGAGCTGGTAGCGCATTTTAGGGTCATGCATAAGAAATGTGAGACTGCAGGGGCCCTGGGCGGGGGCGGGCAGCCTCTGGCTGGAGCCCAACCACCGGGGTGCGGGAGGGAGATAGGAAGGCTCCTGTCCACCCGCACACCTTCCCCCAGTCTCAGGTAAGCGGGTCATATTCTCTGAGATCTTGAGAACATCACTGAGCCTTTTGTACTCCGTGACGGGTCCTGAGACAGTGATAACCCCCGCTCATCATCTCTCCCCCTTTCCCCGCTGGGGGATGGGAGATACGAAGAGTGGCTGGCTGGAGCGCTCACAAGGCCTCCCGTTGTTACCCTCTTCCTAAAAGACTGCCGGCCTATTGACAATGGCTGACTCTACCTTCAGTAAAGGCCAGGGCTGCTTCGCCCTCCTCTCCTGTTTGTGTGACCTTGGGAAGCTCCTTGGGCCACCTTAGAGGTTGTCCTTAAGGGCCGGGGGTTGGAGGAAATCAGAGCTCACCATTTACTAAGAAATCCCTAGCCCATGTGCACCTTGAGCTGCCTGTGACCCTGGAGGGAAGTACCATTTCTGCCCTGTTTGCTTGCTGAAGAGAAAACCGAAGGTCAGAGCACCACGGTGACTCTGAAGACAGTCAGTGGCAGCTGAGTTAGGAATCTCTCTATCCCCGGGTGCTGGAAATGCCAGGTGCCAGGGAGAAGGCTGGGTATGTAGCGCATTTCTCCAACCCCCACAGGAACAGGCCAGGAGCCACTGCCATGGCTGTAGGCAACATCAACGAGCTGCCAGAGAACATTCTACTGGAGCTGTTCACCCACATACCGGCCCGCCAGCTGCTGCTGCGCTGCCGACCTGTCTGCAGCCTCTGGCGAGACCTCATTGACCTGGTGACCCTCTGGAAGCGCAAGTGCCTTCGAGAGGGCTTCATCACCGAGGACTGGGACCAGCCGGTGGCTGACTGGAAGATCTTCTACTTCCTTCGAAGCCTCCGAAGGAACCTCCTTCACAACCCATGTGCTGAAGGTGGGTGCAGAGAGTGTCTGCCTCAACACAACACATGCTCGGTAACCAGTGGGCATGTCCTGAACGCGGACTGCATTGTGGCCTTTATTCCTCTCCCAATAATGCTTAGAAGTAGGTACTATTGATGTACCCTCTCTTCAAATGGGTAGACTGAGGCCAAGGGCACTGTGTATTGCAGATCATTTCTCAGATGGGTACGATGGCACACATTTGTAATCCCAGCACTTGGGAAGTGGACACAGGAAGATAGAGAGTTCAAGGTCATCCGTTAGAAGCCAGTCTGGGCTACATGAGACTGTCTCAAAACAAACCAGTCATTTCTCAGTTGGCAATGGTGCTAACAGTGTAATCCCAGCACTGGGGAGACAAGCAGAAGGATCATGAGTTCAAGGGTAGCCTCTCCTAAAACCTTCCCTAGGAAAAGAAATGTGGCCAATTGGAACAGATTGTGTCAAAGACACTAGTTGAAGCCACAATCTGCTGTCCTCACGGGCCTATGGGGACTGTCCCAGAAGGAGTCTTGCCTATGGATGAATGGGAGGTGAAGACTCCTTTGCATTGAGATTCAAGAGCAGGTCAGACAAAAGGCTTCTAGTCATCTGGACCCCTTGGGCCCAGGCTGTGCTGTAGCCTGAGGATGAGTTACAGCAGGAAGGAATTTGTTTTCTGTTGCACGTCAAACATGGGGTGGGGGGCATAGTAACAGAGTAAGTCCAGGCTACTCAGATCCTCCAGCTGCCTGTCTACGTCCCTTGACTCCCCATAGCCATGCTCTTGACCAGTGCTGGGCAGACTACAGCCCAAACCTACTTACTATATTATGAAGAATTTTATGGTTTGTTTTGTTTTGTTTGGGGAGGTCTCTCTATTATTATTATTTTTTTAACTTTCTTTTTTTTTATTTAATGCTGAATGCTGTTTATTGAAGGAGGGAGGAGGTCTTAAATACAGGCTTACAGCACAATGGGAGAACCCGGGAGGGCAGAAGTTCGCTTCGATGGTTTACAATCTTGCATCTAAGCAGTTAACGCCCATTATGCAGGATACACATACAAGGAACTTCTCTTAAGTATTCAGGAGGGTGAAACCCGGGAGGGAATTAGCATAGGGAGGATATCAAGGTCAAGGTCAGCAAGCAAGGCAACAGTTACCCAAAACAGGGGCCAGGACCCTACAGGTCCCCCTTTTACTAAAAAATGAGCTTCTCACTTAAGTTGCGTGGGACGTCAGCAGGTCACTTTACCTGTCATGGAGATGCCTGCTCAGGCCACACAGGCGCTCTGTCTCAGGTTGGTGAGCGCCCCCCAGGCATTACAGGGTCTCTCTATTATAAGGACACGAGTAGCTCTGGCTGTCCTGGAACTCACTATGTAAACCAACCTGATCTTGAACTCAGAGATTCACCTGCCTCTGCCTCCCAAGTGCTGGGATTAAAGGCGTGCACCACCATGCCCCGCTGGGTATTATGTTTTTAACGGATTATTAAAAATAGAAACAGAAACAGAAATAATAGAAATAGAGACAGTGTTGTGGCCCAAAAACCTAAGCTATTCCGGCACTCCAAGAGCCTTTTCTTTTGACCTTTATTTATGTGTGTATTAGGTGTGTGGGGTGGGGAGAGCTGTGCGTGCTACTGCGCGTGTGAAAGTCAGAGGACAACTTGTAAGAGTCAGCTCTCCCCTTCCGCCATGTGGGATCCTGAGATGATGTCCACTTCAAGTCATCATGCTTGGTGACAAGCGCTTTTCCCGGAGGCATTTCACTGCCCTTGGTTTTGCTTTTTTGAGATAGGGTCTTGCTATCTTGCTACGTAGCCCTGTCTGGCCTGGTACTCAGTATGTGGCTTAGACTGGCCTGGAACTCACAGCACTCCTGTCTCGGCCTGCTGGGATGGCAGGTATGTTCCACCACAGATTAGCCTCTATGCTTGATTCTAGCTAACGAGAGGACCAAGGCTCAGAGAAGGAAAGAAACATGTCTATGGTCACACAGCCCATTACTGCTGGAGCTGAGTAAGATTCGGGTCTGTCTGCCAGAGCACGCTCCATCAGGAGTCTGATCATCCAGGATTCTCCGTGGAAGCCCTTTAGCTACACCCAGTGCACACAGGTAGCACCTAACGTGCTACCTACGATGACAAAGCACAGGGCTGGAAGGCAGCTTGGCGGTCCCACCTCTGAGAGGAAGGGGTACATGGAGAAGGTGCCCTGAGGGGCCTCCTGCATGGTGGACTCTGCTCTCCCCACAGAGGGATTTGAGTTCTGGAGCCTGGATGTGAACGGAGGTGATGAATGGAAGGTGGAAGATCTCTCCAAAGACCAGCGGAAGGAATTCCCCAATGACCAGGTCAAGAAATACTTCGTGACTTCCTATTAGTAAGATCTAGGGCCTGAGGGTGGGGGGAGCCCAAGTCCTAACATCAGGGTCCAGTGCTGAACTCCAGTCCCTCCCCCTCCCTGAACCAGCACCTGCCTCAAGTCCCAGGTGGTGGACCTCAAGGCTGAAGGGTATTGGGAGGAGCTGATGGACACCACCCGACCGGACATCGAGGTCAAAGACTGGTGAGTGACGGGGCGAGGGTCTGGGGGGGGCCTGCCGCCCAGGCGCCCCACCCCTGCCCTGCCCCCCATCTCCCAGGTCCTCATGAACCCTTCCTTCTTCTACCTGCAGGTTCGCAGCCAGGCCAGACTGCGGGTCCAAGTACCAGCTGTGCGTTCAGCTCCTGTCGTCGGCCCACGCACCCCTGGGAACCTTCCAGCCAGACCCCGTAACGATTCAGCAGAAGAGCGACGCCAAGTGGAGGGAGGTATGTGGGCAGGGACCCCACAGGGACCTTCAGACCCGAACTCTGCCATCTCTCACCTGGGTTTCTGCTGCTCTAAGCCTCAGCCTCACTTGCTTCAGTAGAAAAATAAGAGTAAGCTTCCAGCTTAGACAGCGGGGGTGGGAGACTAGGAGAGCCCCAGCTCAAAAAAATTTCCAGAAAGGATGATTCAGTGGTAGACTGCCTAGCATACACGAGGCCCTGTGTCCTATCCCCAGTAAAAAAAAAAAAAAAAAGTAGATAAATAACTGGGCCTGAAGACATGCCCTCAGTAGTTTCCATCACTTTTGTTCTGGCAGAGGACCCAGGTTCAAATCCCAGCACCCACATGGTGGCTCACAACCATCTGTAACTCCAGTTCCAGGGGATGCAATTCCCCTCTACAGTCCTCTGCAGGTACCATGCACATAAATAGTTCATATATGTACATGCTGGCAAACATTCACACACATAAAATAAAATGAAATCTAAAATATATATAATAAGAATAAACAAAGGCTTTGCCACCAGAAATGCTCAGTGTTGAGAAACTGAGGCAGCAGTGGGTAAAGGCCAGCCTAGCAACTTAGGGAGACCTTGTCTCAAAATTAGAAACAGTGAAAAAAAGAGGACCGAGGATAACATTCAGTGGTGGAATGCCTGCCGAGCATGTGCTGGCTCAACCCCAGTATCACAAAAAAATAAAATAAAAATGTTCAGGGCCAAGTATGGTGGCTCATGCTGGTAATCCCAACTCTTGAGAAGAGGGTGCAGGAGGATTAGGAGGTCATATATAGCAACATCTAGAACCACATGTGCTACCTAAAAGAGGAAAGGAAGGAGAAATACCCAGAAGGCATGACTGCTACTGATACTAGTATCTATCATCCCTACACGAGTCCCCAACTTATTTTTGTGATTCCTTTGCTTGTATTTTATATGTATGGGTGGTTTGCCTGTGTGTATGTGGACCACATGCATGCAGAGGCCAGAAGAGGGTGTCAGATCCCATGGAACTAGACTTACAGAAGGTTGGGAGTTGCCATGTTGTGGGTGCTGGGAACTAAACCCTGATCCTCTGCAAGAGTAGCCAGTGTTCTTAACCACTGAGCCATCTCTCCAGAGCTCCCCCGACCACGCCACCTTAAATTTTACTTTTCAATGGGAGTGTGACCCCACAGTAAATCTAGGAGCATCTGGCTCACCAGCATTCTACTTAGAATATTTTTTCTAATGGGCAATGGGCTTATCAAATATATCTTCAATTTTAGCATATGGTGGGTCTGTCTGGACCTGCCCACCATCAGTTGAGAAGCACCTGTTATCTACACCATGGTCACGTGTGCTGTCTTTCTTTTCTTTGTTTGGTGGGATTGGATACAGAGCCTAAGACCTCATACATGTTAGGCTCTACCACTGAAGCCAGATACGAATCTTAGTGTGGTGACTCAAGTCTGTAATACTAGTACTTAAGAGTCTGAGGCAGGGGCATCACTGTACATTCCAAGCTAGTTTGCATTTTCTGTTGTTGTTTTCAGACAGGATGTCCAGGTAGTCCTGGCGGTTGTGGAATTCAATATGTAGACCAGGCTGACCTAGAACTCACAGAATTCCTCCTGCCTCTTCCTCGTGAGTGCTAGTATTAAAGATGTGTGTCACCATTCCTGGCCAGCTTGAGTTTTGTAGTGCAAAGCTTAGACCATAGAGACCTGGTGTTAAAAATAAATACATAAATGCATAAACAAGAAACAAATAGATAAAACATCTGGGCAAGGTGGGCTGTGCTGTGACAAGGCAGAGGCAGAGGCAGGCAAATCTCTGTGAGTTCAAGGTCAGCCCTGTCTACATAGCAAGTTCTAGGCCAGCCGAGGATGCACATTAAATAAACAAATAAATACACCAGTACCAACAAGCCAGGCAAAGACCTTCAAGATAAATGTTTCATGAGGAAAAGGGACTTGCTGTCAAGCCTGAGGACTTCAGTTCAGTCCCTGGGACCCACATAGTGGAAAGAGAGCGTCAACTCTAACATCTTCAGACTGCCACACATGCACTGTAGCATACATGTGCATGTACATACATGCATGCCAGGCGGTGGTGGCGCACACTTTTAATCCCAGCACTCGGGAGGCAGAGGCAGGCAGATCTCTGTGAGTTTGAGGTCAGCCTGGTCTACAGAGTGAGATCCAGGACAGGCACCAAAACTACATGGAGAAACCCTGTCTCTAAAAAAAAAAAAATACATGCACAGTAAATAAATGTCATTTTTAAAGTTGTTTAAGGCAAACAGGAGGGCTGGAGAGATGACTCAGAGGTTAAGAGTGTTTGTTTCGCTGGCAGTGGTGGTGCACACCTTTAATCCCAGCACTTGGAAGGCAGAGGCCGGTGGATTTCTGTGAGTTCCAGGGCAGCCAGGGTGGTTACAGAGAAACCCTGTCTCAAAAAAACAACCAACAAACAAACAAAAACAAAAAAAAGGGTGCTTGCTGCTCATACAGTTTGGTTGTCAGCACCATGTCACGTGTGACTCACAACCACCTGTAACTCCAGCCCCAGCACCCTCTTCTAGCCTCTGTGGACACTGCACTCACATGCACAAACACACATACACACATACCCAAACATTCTGTCACGAGGACTGGCATCTCAGCTCGGCTGCTGCTGTGGGAAAGCAGCTTCAGACAACAAGTGAGCCCTGTTCCAGTAAAACTTTATTAACAAAAGTACCAATGAGTCAAGCCCTTATGTACGCAAGTCCTCAGCCAACTGCCCCAGGGAGAGTTGAACCTTGAGTGAAATCCAGCCCTTTCTGAGTAACGTGGTTCTTTATCTAGTTTTGTTTTATTTGTGTTTTGATTTATCTGATACAGGGTCTCATGTAGCCCAAGCTGGTCTCCAACTTACTACCCAGCAGAAGACGGCCTGAGCTCGGGCTTCTCCTGCCTTTATGCCCCAAGAGCTAAGATCACAGGTGTTTGCCACCGTCTGGTTTATGCTGAGGATTGAACACTGGTCTTTGCACATTTCACTCTACAGGGCGAGTACTTTACTGAGCTCTTTGGTTGTTTTCTGACAGGATCTCAAGTATCCCAGGAGGGCCTCTAAGGCGATAAATACATAGCCAGAGATGACCTTGAATTCTGATTGTCCTGCCTTCGACTCCTGAGTGCTGAAATTAGAGACATGCGCCATCATGGTGCTGGGAATGGAATCCCGGGCTTCAAGCATGCTACACAAGCATTTTCAATGAATCTACATCCCCTGCTCTGATTTTTTGTTGTTCCTTTTAAAAGGTTTATCTTTATGTTATGTGTATGTATATTTTGCCTATGTGCCTTGGAGGCCAGAAGAGGGTGACAGATCTCCTGGAACTGGAGTTACAGATGGCTGTGAGCTGCCCTGTGCCATGTAGGGGCTGGGAATTGTATCCTGGTCCTCTGCAAGAGCAGCCAATGCTCTTCAACAGAGCAGCCTCTCCTGCCCCCCTGGCTTCTTTTTTTTTTTTTTTTTTTTTTGAGACAGGTCTTACATAGTAGTCCCTGATACTCCCTCCTTCTGTCTGCCCCCCAGGTTTCACACACATTCTCCAACTATCCTCCCGGCGTCCGCTACATCTGGTTTCAGCACGGAGGCGTGGACACTCACTACTGGGCCGGCTGGTACGGCCCGAGAGTCACCAACAGCAGCATCGTCATCAGGCCCCCACTGCCCTGATGCCCCCCGAACCCCTATCCTCGGAGCCCTAATTGGTAAACAGCTGTCAGAAAGGGCCAGGCTCGGGAAGTGTGGGGGAGGGGGGTGGAAGCCAGGCACTCCCAGACCTGTTTGTCTTTGCCCCCCAGCTGCCTCCTCTGTGTCTGGGCCACACTCTTCTCTCCAAAGGCTGGCCCTCCAGCAAGGTCACCCCTTTAAGGGGTGCAGTGCCTGAGGTTAGGTGGATACAAAAGTTATCAGGGAGAGAGCCCCAAGCTCGAATGCTTGCCCAGATCTGTCTGTACCTCTGCCCTTTGTTCTCCTTCAGGGCCCTTAGAGCAGAGATGAGTGAGACACCTGACAGGTTTGGGGACTGCCTTTGACGATGCAGACGTTGAGGGGCAGATCTGGGATAGAAGGCGGCTCTGCTGGCCAGACCTTAGCCTGGTTGTCAGCTGCGGCTTCTGTCTTGGCTATCTTCCTTGCTTTGGCTTGGAAGTGAGGCCTGGTACCAGATAGGCAGGTAGGATCAGACTGTCCTTGTCATCAGCAAAACCCAGAAAGCCAGGTGGGTACCGATGAGTGCAGGGCTCCCCAGAGAACCCATGTAATCCCACTCAGGATGCGGGGGCAGGATGGACCTTGATTCTGAGAGCTGAAATGGGGAAACCAAGTAGAGGGACCTGGGCAAGTTCTCTACGGCTTGGAGATGTCCGAGCCCCAACACTGTTGGAGCGTCCATTCCCACACTGTCCCCTGACCCCAGGCCACCCCAACCCTCCTACTGCACAGCCAAATAAAACATTTCCCAGCCTCCTTGTGCCCTGTGGCTTTGGAGGGAAGGGTGGGTTCATGGACAATCCTGCCTGTCCCTAAAGAAGCAGGAGTGTGGGCCATGGCAGCCCTTAGCTCAAGGGCAGAGCCCTCCAGCAATCTGGGTGCATCTCTCTGCAGCCCAAGTAGGCTGTACCAGGCTCCACTTCCTGCTGTCTCCCTGCCCAGTGCCTCCTTACCGATTTAGATTGAGCCCAGCACACAGTAGGTGTTCACTACTTGTCAAAGTTAAGTATTTCACTCAACAATAAAATAGATGGGGCTGAGCTGGAATGGGCCAGAGTTCACCAGCCTCCTCCCTTGACCAGAATTAGTGACCTCCCCTTGGGCTGTGCTCACCTTTCACAACCCCCGATGATTGCCTCAAATCGGCAATTGATAAATGTTTGTGTTAATTAATTTTAACTAGGACCAGAAAAGGGTTTTTCTCCTTGAGAATCACTCAAGACCCAGAAAGAAACTGGACACCAGGTGGTGGTGCAGGCCTTTAATCCCAGCACTCTGGAGGGATGCTGGCAGATCTCTGTGAATTTAGCCTGATCTACAGAGTGAGTTTCTGGACAGCCAGGGCCAAGTAGAAAGACCGTGTTCAACACACAAACAAACGAAACGGAAAACGTCCCCGGAAAGTAGAACTCCGGCACTCCAGGTGAATGAGGACAGGGGCAGATCAAGTCCTGGCTGGCGTGTGGTAGGGACTGGATTCCAGGTAGCGCTTCCTTCGCAGAAGGAGGAAGCAGGACCGAGTGAAGCAGGCTGGTGAGCTGCCTGTCGCCTGGAGCCGGAGACCGAAGGCCAAGAAACCTCGGGTGTATAGCCCTGGAAGCAGCGGTGGCGTGGCGGTGGCCCCTAGGACCCTGAGCTCATCTTCCCACCGACGCGGAAGGCCGCTTGTCAGTGCATGACGCGAGTGGGAGGCCGGGACGGGGCGGGGCGAGCGACAGAGGACCGCGTCGCCAAGGTCCAAGCCCAAGGCCCGGCAGAGCTGCGGCTGCCCGGTGCCCAGGTCGCGACCGGGTGGGGGACGGGGACGGGGCTGGGAGGGGGTGGAGGTCACGCGCTCACGGGGAGGCTCGGGCCAGGCGCGATCCGTGTTCTCGAGTCCCGCGCGGGGACGCCGGGCCTGCTGTACGTACTCGAGTGTCCGGAACGGTGGCGACAGCGGCTTCTCCTTGGTGCAGAGAGCTTCAGGCGCTAGGGAGGGACGTCCGCGCGTGACCGGGCCAGAGCCCGGCGTGGACTTTTCCACCAAGGCACACCAGGGGCACTGCCATCTCCTTTGCAAGGTGGATTGTTGTGGGAGAAAGTGTCATTGGGGCGGAATGCCATCAGGGCCAGGGCAGTGGGAGACCCCCACTGGGCGCCCAGTGACTCCCTGGTCTAGGCAGCTTTTAGGAGTTGCTGAAGTCTTTTAATCCACGTAGTTTACTTGGATTTTTATTGGTTGTTTCTGAGGATGGAACCCGGGGCCTTCCGAGTGCTAGATTATAAGCGTGCTACCAACCCGTCAGCCCCCTCGGAAGCACAGGTTCCTGCTAGGCAAGTATCCACCAAATGAGTCACAGTCCCAGCCCAATTTACTTTTACTTTTTATTTTGAGACAGGTAGAAGTGATCAGGCTCAGTTATCTGGGACTCTGGGGGTGTGCCACCATTGATACTTATTTGTTTGTTTGTATTTTGACGCAAGACATTTTTTAAATGGTAAGTATTTGAGAGACCAAACCACAGTCTGTTCCCTGCCTCTCTAACTAAGCATTTAAACAGGGCCCAGATCTCCTATGGTCCTTTCTTCCGCCATGGTTAAGAACTCCTCCAGGGCAAGGGCCAGTATGCATCCGCCCTCCCGTGTCTGGGACAGGAGCCCTCACAAGACCGGCTGTTTCTGGGAAAGTAGGTGGAAAAGCCTTTCCCCCAGGCATAGGCAAGAGTGCTCATTTGAGTGACAGCATAGAGCCCGATTCAGCCCACCCCCACACCTAGGGCGGATCCCGGGGGTAACCTAAGAGTTTACCGACAGCCAGACACTCCCATTCTGATCTGTCCTGACGCCCAAGGCAACATATCAGCACCTGGGCATTAAAACGATGTTTTACTGCAGTGATGTCATATCAAGACTAGACAGAGAACTTAAGAGACCACGGAGTGGTACCGGAAGACTCTTTCCAGGTCAAGGGCCAACCGTCTCCAATACAAAGCAGTTTAGGGCGAGGAGTTACAGGCAGTTTCCTGTAACCAGGGCTGACTTAGAAATCTTGATCCTCTTTTCCCCACCTCCCAAGAGCTGGAATAACAGATTCACCACCAGACCCAGCTCCTAAACAATTATTTTTCAATGGAGAGAGGGAACGCCTTTAAAAATCTTGTCTTTTTGTGGTTGTTTGTAATTTTTTTTTTTTTTTTTTTTTTTTTTTTTGAGGTGAAGTCTTGTTCTGCTGCCCAAACTGGCCTAGAACTGCTGGGCTCAAAGCCGGTGGTACAGGTCAGTGGCAGAGTGCTTGCCTAGCATACATGATGGCTTCGGTTCCATCCCTAGCACTGTAAAGAACTTTTTAAAGCTTCATTTTGTTCTTGTGGCGGTTTTTGAAAACCAACCGAGGCGGACCTGACCTAGACTGTGAGTAGCCCAAGCAGTCCTCCTGCCTCAGCCTCCTGGATGCTTAGAGCACAAGTTGCTAAGTCCGGCACATGATTTGTATTTTCCAAATGCACGTAGCAAGGTCCCTGCCGGATCTCAAGGGCCACACCCCACCCCCACCCTATAAGTGCTTCTTCCTCTCTGGGTTTCAGGTCAGGGGAAGACCTGCCTAACACTGCTCTAGAACCTGGTGGAGGGGAGGAGGAGTCAGTCCTTATTCGGATCTTCTGCTCAGGGCTCACCGAGACCGTCATCCCCTACCACTCCCAGGCCTGGGAGCATAGCTCCCCATTCCGCCATGGTCAACATCAACGAGCTGCCAGAGAACATTCTACTGGAGCTGTTCACCCACATCCCCGCCCGCCAGCTGCTGTGGAACTGCCGCCCGGTCTGCAGCCTCTGGCGAGACCTCATCGATGTGGTGACGCTTTGGAAGCGCAAGAGCCTGCGAGAGGGCTTCATCACCAAAGACTGGGACCAGCCTGTGGAAGACTGGAAGATCTTCTACTTCCTGTGCAGCCTGCAAAGGAACCTCCTTCGGAACCCGTGTGCTGAAGGTGGGCTGGGGGGTGAGGCCGGGCTGCCCTGGGAGCCTCTTCTCTACTTTCCTGAAATCAGGGCCTTTGTTCTTGCTTTTCCACACTGCCTGCCATGTTCCCCTGTCCCTAACACTTACCACACTCGGGCTCCTTGTTGTTTGGACCTAGACCCTTCATCTATTAAATGCGCATGGTTTGTGTGCACGTGTCGGTCAGAGAGCAGATTGAGGGAGTTTGGTTCTCTCCTTCCACCATGTGGATCCTGGGGATCCAACTCAGGTTGTCAGGTTTGGCAGCAAGCACCCTTACCTGCCTAGCCATCTTCACCCCCTGGGCTGACACCTGAGCCAGGTGTGGCTGAGAACACCTTTAATCCCAGCACCCAGGAGAGGCAGAGGCAGGTGGATCTCTGTGAGTTCAAGGCCAGCCTGATCTACACAGTGAGTTCCAGGACAGCTAGGGCTATATGGTGAGACTCTTGTGGTCGCACCCCCCCACACCAAAAAAAGGGGAAAGAAAGAGTTCTTGTCTGTATACTTTGAATGTCTGCCATTTTTTTCCCTGTCCTGGCTACAATTCTCAAAGGTTAAGCAAACAATGGGAGTAGAGAACTTGGGGCCCTGGAATGTCACTTGGCTTAGTGCTCAGAACAGTCATCCTCTGAGGGTGACCAAGGCTCAGGCCAGTCTGAATGCACAGGCCGTGCCTCAGACACTCGATCTCCCTACTTGCCCCAGATTCCACTCAGAAGCTGTCCAGCCAGGCTGCCAGCTCAGCTCAGGTCACCTCACTGAGCCACTCTGCCTTTTATAAGGCCCCCATGTCTAGCCTTGCTCAAATCTCCCAGGGCTTTATCTCATGCCAGCCCAGCTCCTCGAATTCTCTTACGCCTTTGGTTCTATACTGGGGAGCCCCCTAGAATACATGGAAACACTGTGAGCTCTTAGGGGATGGTGAGTGCAATGGCAGAGCTCACCTGGTGATGGTTCTGGGCCGTCATAAAGTAATACTCGCACTTCCCCAGGTCTGCTATGCTTAGCCTGAAGGGGGGAAATCCCTGGATCTGACCCCATTCCTGAAGGTCCCTCACTACCACAGGACTCCTGCAGCTACCAGCCCAATGTACCATCTTGGCACTTGCCCAGGAGAAGGGTATTATCTAATGGTGTCGGAACAGTGGGTTCCTTCGGCCCCTAGGATCTGGGTCACGTAGTTAACCAGGGCCTCCTCCTCCTAAACCTAGGAAAGCCAGTGGCCAGGTAAGCAGCCACATTGGGAGGAACTCCCATCAGTCCTAAGGTCCGCCCCATCACAGGCCCTTTGTGATCATATTCTCTAAGGACTGAAACACGGTTGTGGGGGCCCTGTGGCAATATGGACAAGTGAGATTTATGTCAGAATTTTTCATCCTGTTGTTTGGGGCAAAGCAGGAAGGAGTAAGCCTGAAGCCAGGGGTGGGGGACACCAAGGCACAGGTCATGCTACTGGGCTGGTGGGGCACTAACCTTGGCTGCCGAGTACACTCTAGGAGATGCAAGCTGATTAATCCCTTTGGTGTCCATAACCCCCTTGAAGTTTCCCAGGACCAGAAAGGGCCTCAAAGTTTCAAGGGTATACATCAGGGCTGCAACTGCAGCTACTGGCTGAGTTCGAGGTGAATCTCATCTGTACTTCCGTCTTCCCCAGAGGACATGAGACTATGGCAGATAGACTACAACGAGGGCGATGAGTGGAAGGTGGAGAGCCTCCCTGGGGAACATGGCAGAAACTTTCCTGACCCCAAGGTCAAGAAGTATTTTGTCACCTCTTACGGGTAAGCAATGATGTGGAAGAGGCTGGAGGAGGCTGCGCTAAGGAAGAGTCAGGGGGACTCTGCCAAGTGCCAGGATAGGTGAGGGCCTCTGAAGTTCAAGGAGGGGGTTCCAAACAGGGGTCAAGGAGCAGTGAACTTGGTGGTAGGTTGCTGGCAATGGGGAGAAGGTTATCAGGTGACCAGGAGCAGAGTCAGCCACACTCCACAATAACCCATGGGATCAAATATTACCCAGGGAAAAGCAGATCTAACGCCCCATTTCCCTCAGATCCGAGGAGCTCTGCCCAGGGCCTGTCCTGGGGGGTGGGGGGTGGTGTCTCCTGAGTTCCTTGGGCTATCTACCTGGCAAGGAAGGGCCCTGTCTAGCACACTGGCAGTGTAAGTCTTATCCTCTGTCCCCAGCATGTGCCTCAAGTCCCAGATGGTGAACCTCAAAGCTGAGGGCTACTGGGAGGAGCTGATGGACACCTTCCGGCCCGACATTGTGGTTAAGGACTGGTGAGTGGCCTATGTCCCCACCCCCTGTGTCTTCCCTCCTGCCAAGCCACTGCCACAGTCAACACAAAACTTCAGCTGTGTTTAGAGATGGCCACTGAGGCCTCAGATGACCTAGCCACCCTGGGACCAGAGGACTCCAGCCCTCCCTGAATTTTGTGGAGACCCATAGCTTTCCTATGCAGTGCCTCCCACCCCCTCACTCTGGTTATCCCACACCTCTTACATTTATTTCTTTGGTGCTAGGGATGGAGCCCAGGACCTGCCTCAGGCTAAGCATACCCTCTCCTGCTCAGCTCCATCCTCAACCCCTCCCTATGGCCCTTTCCCAAGATCCCCCTCTGTGCCTACAATTATTGGCAAAAGACTCTGGGGGGTCAATTCTCTGAGGATAATGGAGCAAGCTCTGAGCCAGCCCATTGCACAGGTTCCCATCTACTGTGCCATATGGTGACAGACTTGGACAGACAGCATCTTCATAGAAAGCCATTTTGGTTTCCAAGCTCACCCCTTTTCTTGGGTGGGGAAACTGAGGCAATATGTAGAAAGACGCTTCTCCGGGACACAGGGACATAAGGAATATGGAGCCAACTAGCAGTCACAGACAGAGGGGTGCTTACAGATAGGAGCTGTCCTTAGAGCCAGCCTTCAGAGGCAGGGGTGCTCACCCTCTATTCCATCCTCCCTAGGTTCGCCCCCAGAGCGGACTGTGGCTGCACCTACCACCTCCGGGTACATCTGACCTCAGCCGACAACATCGTCTTGGCCTCCTTTGAGCCCCCACCTGTGACCATCGAACAGTGGAATGACGCCATGTGGAGGGAGGTGAGACCCTGCCTGCTTGCCTGCCACTCACTCTCCCGGGACCAGGCTGTCAAGGAACAAGGGGCAATTAAGTGTTCCGCATGCAGTGCTAGGCTGTTCCTCCTGCCCAGGTCTCAGCAGCTCCTTCCCCTCTCTCCCCAGGTCTCTCACACCTTCTCTGACTACCCTCCGGGCGTCCGACACATCCTTTTCCAACACGGGGGCCAGGACACCCAGTTCTGGAAGGGCTGGTACGGCCCCCGCGTCACCAACAGCAGCATCATTATCAGCCACCGGACGGCCAAGAACCCCGCCCCTGCCAGAGCTCTGCCGGAAAACACTGTAGTAATAGGAGGAAGATACCCCTCGACTTTGGCTCCAGAAACCCTAATGGTAGACTTTCTCTGAGAGCCATCTGTCCCCCTCTGCTGGGGTCTGCTTTGCAAAGCAGAGTCTGGCAAGAGTTTAGTGGGCAGTCAGGTCCCCCGTCCCACGACCTCCAGCAAACCCATCAACTCAGCGGTGATTTACAGTCACAGAGCTTTGACATTTTGTTGTAATAAATGTTTTCAGTAAGTCCAGTCTGGTTTGGGGTTTACAGGTGGGGTTGCTAACACTCTTGTGGAGAAACAGTCCCTCCCCAGAACAGCTTCCCTGCACCTGCCTTCTCCCGTTTTGGTTAACGACAATGCAGTCAGCCCTTTGGGGCCCCTTTATTAACGATAACTCACAGCACAGTATTCAGATGGACAGTGTTGGCCGGCGGAGCCCCGGGAGGCTGCTGAGAAACAGTGTCTGTCCTGGCGTTCTTCCCTGGCCTCCTGGGAAGGCTGCCTCAGCGAGGCAGGCAGGACTGAGCAGCCCAACCAGAGGGGCGGCCACATGTCAAGGCGATAAGAGCACTTGGAGTCAGGGGGCCCTGCAGCACCGCCCTGGGCTGGGGCCCCAGAGTGGGACAGCTGGGCATCAGGTGGCAGGCACGCCCTCAGCTGTTTTTATGAGCTCGCTCTTCCACGTAGAGCTGCATCTAGTAGAGAAGGGGCTTTGGTCAGACCATGAGGTGCCCGCTGGCAAGACTCAGGAAGGGATGGAAGGTAGAGGACCACCCCCACCCCCAAACCTTGGACACTCTCTAGCCTGGAACTAGCTCTGGGCCCTGAGTCTCCTAAATGAGGCTTCTTCCATCCCCTGACCCCTGAAAGCTCACCTTTAAAATGTCTGACGTCATGGTTTTTAGGGGTATCAGCCGGGGGTCATGCATGTGGACATCCTGTTCATCTGCCAGAATCCACGGGAAATCCTAGGGATGGGATCAAGTGAGGGTTAGAAGGGGTTACACCTCGGTCAGTCCTCACTCTGCTACCCTCCCCTCCAGTTACTACACGGGAGGGGGCAGGGTGCTGGGAACCCAAGCAACTAACATTCCCAGTGTGGTTCTAAAATGATCCTGAAACCAAAGGCCCCTCTCTGGAGAACTCTGTTCAGAAGAGCCAGGGTGAGTTCACCTCCTGGCACTACTGGGATTCTTCTTAGTACACACGGATGTGGTCAGGTGGGTAACCCACAGGAGAGCCCACTTGATGCCAGGCACTGCCGTAAACAGCAGTGCCAGCCACAGGCAGCACCCTGAAATTGTGCCCACACACACACACACACACACACACACACACACACACACACACTCACCTTGATGACCTGTATCTTCTCCATGTTTCGAGTGGCAGCTTCTCTTGTGTGCACAAGGACTGTGAATGTGCAGCCTGCAAAAGGAATGCTTGGTCAAGGTCAAAGGTAAGCAGCCTCAGGATCCCACTGGAGCAGGCTTCCTCCCTCCTCCCTCACTGGCTGGGCAGCGCCACCCTCAAGATGTAAAGTGTAGCCAATGGCAAAGACAGTGTCGATGGGAGCCTGAAATGTAGTAGAATCAGTCCTGGAGAGATGAACTCTCGGGTGCTGAGGGCGGGGAGAAGAGGGTGGCTCAGGCCAGCTAACTAGGAAGAAGATAGGCATGCCAGGGTAACCAAGGAAACGCCGGAGGAGTGGGGCATCCCACCTGGAGGGTTGTGGTCCAGGACAGCGTCACACACACTAATCTTCAGGATGAAGGCTCGCAGCAGCTGCTCCACATGAGACAGTAAGGAGTCTGAACTGGGAATGGGAAAGGAGGTCTCCCATTCTGTCATGCTCCTCTGCCACCCCCAGCACACAGTGGACTCGCCAAACACCTTCGGTGCCAGAGAGAGCCAGCCCAGTCCCACCCACCTGACAGAATGGAGGCCGGTGCAGGGGTCCCTTTGGGCAGTTCTAATATTCAGCTAGTTAGAGGACACCCAAGACACAGCTCAAGCCCCTGCATACTTCAGGACCCCAAGACAGGAAGAGAAAGGGCTTGTTTGAGGCCGCCTAGCCAGGGGACAGGTTAGCTCCCGATTCCAGTGCCCTTCCCTCAGCACAGAGAGCAAGTAGCTGAGTAGCTATTATAGACACCATGGTAACCAGTCAACTTGGTCAGAGTCCTGGGCTTTACAATCACTGGGTGACACCACACAGGTCACCTCTCAGGACCCTGGTTTCTCCATCTACACAATAAGGCTAGGGACTAACATTAACCACTTCCTGGGATGTTTCAGGGGTGACACAGGGTGACCCTGTCACCTCTACCATTCCCAAAGGTTTGTGGCCAGTGTGTCTCAGATCCTAACAGTATGTATTGCCATTTCAGGGTCTCTACTAAGGTAATGTGGAGCTGGTATAGGGATCCTGTGAGAGACTGCAGCAGTCAGCCGAGGGAGGGTGACAGCTCACCTGATGGACAGCAAGGGCGGCTGAGTGATCTCAAAGACAAACTTCTCCACTGGACGGTGTTCCTTATCCAAAATCACCACCACTACCTTCTCCACATCATTCTGTAAGCACAGGAACCCCTGCTCCAGAGCTATGCACAGGGCCCAGGCAGCGGTGGGACAGGGCACTGGCTAAGGCTACCTGGAGCCTAGCAAGCAGAGGTGCAGGCTGGCTCCCAAGACATGATGATATAGGCCAGTGGAGATGCCTGGAGGTCCCCCAACAAGCCTCAGACCAGGACAAGATAAAGTAGAAAAAACCCAGGGGGGCCCAGCCCAGAGAGAATGGGAAGCAGGGAAGCAGGGATGGGACAGACCATGGGGACATGAAAAGAACCAGATCTTCCAGGGCAGGCCCCACCCAGATCTGGCCCAGCTAATCGACCCCAGATGTGACCTACATACCCCAGGACCTGCTAGCTAGCTGGGGGTGGTCTTCAGAGTGAAGCTTCTGGTTGTTAAAAGATATGAGCACTCCTCACAGAGTCAGCCCAGAAGTAAGGAGGAACAGATTGGGTGTGGAGTGTCCGTTAGGACCTGGGAACCCCTCACCTTCTCCAGGAGTGGTTTGACGCAGTGAAGTGTGTCCTGAATGTACTGGTTCAGCTCCGGGTGACAGGACATCTGCACACAACCCAAAGAGCTGTTGAAGCCCAAGGCAGGAATGGGGGAACACCAACAACCCACACACATACACATGCTGTTTTTTGGACAAACAACAGCCATTCCCCAGGTCTTTCTGCCTGAGAGATCCAACATGTCACCATGGTGCTAAGAACTATGGATGAATTTATCCCTGGAGAGATACTCAAATACAGGCACACCATCTCAGCACTGGCATTTGACATTAACATTAAGAAGCTGTGTAGGGCCAGGCTGCGGAGCTGCACGCCTTTAATCCAGCGCTTGGGAAGCAGAGACAGGCAGATCTCCTGAGTTCAGGGCCAGCCTGGGCTACAAAGTGAGTTCCAGGACAGTCAAGGCTACACAGAGAAACACTGTCTCGAAAGACAAAACAAAAAGAAAAAAAGCTGTGTAGGGCCAGGCATGGTGACATATACCTTTAATACCAGGCAGAGGCAGGCAGATCTCTTGAGTTAAGGCCAGCCTGAGCAAGAGCTATCTGGGAGAGTTGAGGGGGAAGAGCTGTGTGGCCACAGGCAAACGACTTAATATCTCTGAGCTTAATGATGTCATCTGGGAAGATCTAATAAAGGTGACGATTAAATGAGACTGCCGGTGCACAGGGGTGCTTCGTAGCTGTTCGTTTCCATCTACCACCTCCCAGGGTTTAGAGGTCGTAATTCTCAGGTTGACTGACTGACTGCAATGGGAAGGACTTGGGAGAAAGACAGCATGTCTACTGTCTCACCTTTGAAACCCAGGAGCCAAGCAGGGTGGCCCACATCTTTAATCCCAGCATTTAGGAGGCAGACGGATCTCTGAGTTCAAGGATAGCCAGGGCCATACTGAGACACCTTGTCTCAGAAAACAAATAAAAAACAGGAAGCTTGGTAAAGATCTCTGGTAATCCTAGGATGCAGGAGAATTAGGAGTTCAAGGCCAGCCCCAGTTTCCTAACAACTCCAGCCCAGGATAGACTACATGAGATCTGGATTTAAAAGGGGGGCAGGGTGGGGTGGGGTGGGTGGAGAAATACCTCAGCAGTTAAGAGCACTTGTCACTCAGCCACCAGAGTCAGGTCCCCAGTACCCACCTTAGGCATCTTACAAATGCCAAGGGTTCCCATGCCCCTTCTAGCCTCAGTGGGCACCCTACATACAAACACACAGACACATGCACATACACATAATTAATATAAATCTTAAAAAATAAAAAGCTTGAGCCGGGCGGTGGTGGCGCACGCCTTTAATCCCAGCACTCGGGAGGCAGAGCCAGGCGGATCTCTGTGAGTTCGAGGCCAGCCTGGGCTACCAAGTGAGTCCCAGGAGAGGCGCAAAGCTACACAGAGAAACCCTGTCTCGAAAAACCAAAAAAAAAAAAAAAATAAATAAATAAAAATAAAAAATAAAAAATAAAAAATAAAAAGCTTGCCAGGCGGTGGTGGTGCACGCCTTTAATCCCAGCACTTGGGAGGCAGAGGCAGGCGGATCTCTGTGAGTTTGAGGCCAGCCTGGTCTACAAAGTGAGTTCCAGGACAGGCTCCAAAGCTACACAGAGAAAGCCTGTCTCGAAAAACAAACCAACAAATAAATAGCCAGGTATGGTGGCTCACACCTTCATTCACAGCACTAGGGAGGCAGAGACAGGAGGATTTCCGTGAATTGAAGGCCAGTCTGATCTACATAGTAGGAAATCCAAACCAGCCATGCCTACACAGTAGCACTCTATCTCAAATAAGTAATAATGATTTTTAAAAAATCTAAAATTCAGAGTTTAGGGAGAATGAGGAGAGAAAGAAACTGCTAAGCACTGTGGGAATGCTCTACCCAAGCCAAGGTTCCCAGCCTCGAAACCCCTTTAAAATAAAAGCTTGGAATAGCTCTTATCCAGGGTCCCTATTCCATCTGCAGTCAGGATGGAAAAGCCAGGCAGTGTGAGACAGGAGGCTGTCGGCTATCTGCCTCCGTTGGGGAGTGAGGGAGCTTGTAGGTAGAAAAAAAAGGTTTTTAAATCCAGCCGGCCACCGGGGCTCACCTGAACTGGCACGTTGTACTTCTTGCGCTTCTGGAAGATGCCCACTGGGTAGACCTCGCGCACGTAGAGGATCAGGTGCACGGCCACCTCCAGGAACTCGGAGAGCACGTCGGCCACCACTGTGCAGGAGACACAGTTGATGAGCACGACTCCAGCCAGGACCACCCCCACCCTACCGCCCTGCAGGCCCGGATCCCTACCTTGGCCAAAGTTGAGGTCTTGGCGCGTGAGCGTGGTCATCCTTGGCCGCCTGGGGGAGGGCGCGGAGGTTGTCAGTGGAGACCCACGGCACCCCGCCCCGCACGCGGGAAACGCGCCCGGTCGGGGAAGCCCCACCCCCTGAGCGGCCGGATCCCTCCCGGCGGAAATCCCGCCCTCTCCGCGCTCCTCTCCGCTTGCCGGCTCCGGCTTCGGCCTCAGGTTCGAAACTTCGCTCGGGCGACTGGAGCCACCGGCCGGGACCCTCCGCAGGTCCCCCAGTATCCCCTGGCCTCAGAAACCACCGTGATGCTCCCGCGGAACCAGCGCTGCCGTCGATCACGCCCACCCCTGAAGCTGTCCAATCCGGGCCTCGCCCTGCTGGGAGAGGCGGAGCATCCTCGGGGGCGGGGCTTAGGGGCGGAGACCCGCCTGAGCGACAGGGATCTCAGGAGAGTAAGCTAAGCCGCCTTTGGACTTCAGGTGGGAGAGATAAAGAGATCCTCTACACAGGATCGCTGTGTTCCCCGCTCCCGGGCATCTCTCTTTAGTAGTTGCAAGTGAGAGCCAGCTGCAAAGCACAGCTGGGGACCAAGGGAGGGCAGCGACATCTGCTGCTAGTCCAGAGCCAGCGTCCCCGGAGTCTCAGCTTGCCCAACCGAAAGCGAATCCGCAGGCTTGGGGGCGGGGACAGGGGAGGTCTGAGATGTACCCGAGACGCTCCACCCCTACCCGGAACCCAAGTGCTATGGGGCTTGACCTCCCTAAAGAATTAAATGTCCCAGGATTTCTTCACAATAGCTGACCTTTGGAAGCAACAGCCGAGTGCTAGGAGCCTGGGCAGGGTGTCTGTGGGTTGACTCACTAAATCCCCAGAATACGTGTGGATTCCTGTCTGTCTTCTTTCTGCTGATGAGTCTAATGAGGACTTGTCTGTGTCACACAGCTAGTTGAGGGGACAAGCAGTAGTGCTGCTCCAGGGTCCTACCAGAAGAGCCGAAAGGTGGTACATTTTATGTAACAAACCCCGATTTCTATTTATTTATGTGCGTGGGTGTTTTGTCTGCCTGTATGATTGGACACTACGTGAGTACTTGGTGCAGGTAAAGGCTGGAAGAGGGCGTCTGATCTCCTGAAACTGGAGTTATAGATGGCTGTGAATCGCAAATTGAACCCCACCCCCAACACCCAACACCCCGTTCCCTGTCCTCTGGAAGAGCAGCCAGTGCTCTTAACCGCTAAACCATCTCTCTACCTCCCCAAACTCTGATTTATATTAATTCCTTCATTAGCCCTAGGAGCTAAATATTGCCTTTACAGCTCCACTCTATAGATGTAAAACAGGCCCAGGAACGTTCCTTCATTAACTGAAGCCCACAGGTAGAAGATGTTCCAACATTAGGTGAGAATTCAGTTTAACACACAGCCTTCTATAACAGATAGGAAAACTGAGGTTGGAGAAGTGGCCTGGAGTTACAGGTGACAAGGCAGGCCTAGAAACCGAGAGAACTCAGACCAGTGGTTCTCAGCTTGGGAGATGCGACCCCTACGTGGTAGAACGACCCTTTCACAGGGGTCCCGTATCAGATATCCTGCATATCAGATATTTACATTAGGATTCATAACAGTAGTCAAATTTCCGTTATTAAGTAACAATGAAAATAATTTTATGATTAGGGGTCACCACAACATAATGAACTGTATCAAAGGGTCGCAGCATTAGGAAGGTTGAGGACCACTGGCTTGGACTCTGCCCTCCAGGGGTATAAGAGTCGTCTCAGTCTGTTTCCATAGAGAATGTTGCTTTAAAGCTCATCCCTGCATCCTCCTTCCCAGAAGCTTTCAAACCCATATTTACATCCTTCTCATGGGAAGAGATAAGTAGCAGGCCAGAGGTAGGATTAGCCCAAAATATGAGCAAAGCAGTTCTCAAAATGCAAACCTAGAAAGTCTGTACCTCAGCCCCCAGGGACCCTATTAAACCCTGGCTGTCCAGCTGCCCTGATTGCCTGACCAGGGCAGGCTTACAGCAGTGCTCCGCTCTTTAACAAGCTCCCCAGGGAACTTGTATGCCCAAGAAAATGTGGGAGCTGCCAGCAGAGTTTGCCCGCATTCTGTAACATGTCAGTGCTTAACCCAGTAGGATGGCTGGTTTGGCTTTAGGAACTGATACACCTGTCAGCAGGCACAACAATCCTGCCCACATCACACCATGTTTGACAGAGCCCCTTCCACACAGAGCTGGCCGGGCAACTCACCGCCTTGAGATTTGCAGACCTGAGTGCAGTGAGATTTCATCATGGTGGGTTGGGGAATGCCAGAGTCTTCCTTTATCCACCCCTCCCCACCCCCAGCTTCTGAAGACCGTTTTCATTACTGATGTGGGTAGGGTGGGGGGAGATTCTGAGGTAACATGGGACCAGCTGGGGACCTCTGCCTGTAACTCTGCAGCGCCTGGGTTTTCTTTCATGTTAGTCATAGCAGCATGATGGATGGCTAGAGGACTGATTGCATTATGGGGGAAGTTATTGTTTTTGAATCCCCATTTGGAGGGAGCCTGTTTTTCAATGTTATTTGCGTGTTTCTCACCATAAGGACACTATGTCATGGGGGGGGGGTTGGGAAGGAAATCACATGTCAAGGAAAAAAGAGTGTGTATGTGTTTGCCATCTAGAGCAGATCCCTGGGGGCCCTCAATGGGGACGGAGGTAAAATCACTCCCAAGAGACACAGAAATGGAAAAAGAAGGCAGACCATAAAAAAGGTGTGAGCACCAGCCCTGCAAAGATTAAGCCTCCACTGATGTGCCAAAGGATTCTGAGAGTGTGCTAAACAAACACACAAAGAGTGAACTGGGCAAAACACTTGTCAATGCTGTGTGCAGACTTGCAAGATGCTTCTGTAGCCAATTTCTTGTCCACAGAAGGGATCACAAAAGCATCATCTGGGCAGGTGAGATGGCTCAGCAGGTAAAGGGGCTTGCCACCAACCCTGACAACCTGAGTTCAATCCCCAGGACCACATGTGGAAGGAGAGAACCGACTCCCACAAGTACACACATGCTGCTTCTGTGTGTGTGTGTGTGTGTGTGTGTGTGTGTGTGTGTGTGTGTGTGTGTCTGTCTGTCTGTCTGTCTGTCTCTATCTCTCAATAAATAAATAAATGTAAAAAATAAATTAAACTAATTAATAAAAGGTCCACATCTTTCCCATTTGTCTCAGGTTCCCAGGACAACAAACACATGGGCAGGAAAAGAGAGAGGGAACCAACCACACGAAGCCTGGTGGCAGTCCCGGGACCATGATGATCCTGTTTGGAGAAGAGACCAGCTCAGGTTCTCCAGGAACATGTGTCAAGGGAATGACTGAAACGAAGGGGGAAGAGGATGTGATCGCAAGGGCTCCTGCCCAGTGGCCTGATCTGTGCTCCAGCTTCCTTAGAAAGATTAAGCTAAGACTCTGATGCCAGCAGAGCCAGAGTGTGGGCTGTTCCTCCAGGAGCCCACCACACCTACTGCCCACTTATGTGTCCATTTGCTTCTCTCCACCACCCAGATGCTCATACAGCCTTAGCTTGCTCATCTGTAAAGTGGGAAACTATAGATCCAGTCCCCCAGGGTTATCTGGACATGGTGGCGTACTCTTTGAGTCCTGGCACCCAGGAGGCAGGAAGAGTGACACAAGGTTCAGGCCAGCCAGAGTTACAGAGTCTTTCCCCAAAATTAATTAAGATAAAATTATGTTTATTTTGGATTTTTTAAAATTTTGTATATGAATGCTTTGCCTACCTGTGTGTATATGTACCACACATGTGTCTGGCATCTGCAGAGGTCAGAAGAGTACCCTCTTCTGATTCCCTGGAACTGGAGTTATGGGTGGTTCTGAGCCATCATATGCATGCTTAGAATCGAACCCAGGACCTTTGCAAGAGCAATGAGTGCTCTAAACCACCGAGCCATCTCTCCAGCCCAAAATAAAACAAAATTGCTGGGCGGTGGTGGCGCACACCTTTAATCCCAGCACTCAGGAGGCAGAGTCAGGTAGATCTCTGTGAGTTCGATGCCAGCCTGAGCTACAGATCCAGATGCAGGACAGGCACCAAAACTACACGGAGAAACCCTGTCTTGGAAAAAAAAACAACAAAACAAAACAGAAAACAAAAATCAGACAAAATTCTATACAATTGAGTAAATATTTATAAATAGTGGATAAATGGTCAACTAGTGGCCAGATGACAGTACTATTAAGATCTGCACGGGACTGATGAGCCTGACAAATGAGGTCAACCCCCAGAAACCACATGATGCAAGAAGAGCACCCACCCCAGCCAGTCGTCCTCTGATCTACACACACACACACACACACACACACACACAAATAAACATATAAAAACGAAGATTTAAAAAATAGAAAAGAAAGCCGGGCGGTGGTGGCGCACGCCTTTAATTCCAGCACTCGGGAGGCAGAGCCAGGCGGATCTCTGTGAGTTTGAGGCCAGCCTGGGCTACCAAGTGAGTTTCAGGAAAGGCGCAAAGCTACACAGAGAAACCCTGTCTCGAAAAACCAAAAAAAAAAAAAAAAAAAAAAAAATAGAAAAGATCTACACAGACCATCAGGCATGGTGGCACAGACCTGAAATCCTAGCACTGGTGAGGCAGAGGCAAGAATAGCTGAATTTGAGGACAGCCCAGTCTACTACGTGGAGAGTCCAGGCCGGCCAAAGCAATGCAGTGAAACTCTGTCTCAAAAATAAAACCCAACACAGACTACTTAAGCCCTCAGGAGGACCACAGTGGATAAACGATCTTTTCAAAATGATGTCCTGAGGCTGGGGTGTAGCTAAGTTGGTAGAATGCATACCTAACATGCACGAAACCCTCAGTTTGGTCCCCAGCATCTTATAACCTGGGTGATGTGGTGGAACACACCTGTAATCTCACCACTCAGGTAGAGGCAGGGGGACCAGAAGTTCAAGGTTATCTTCAGCTACATAGTGAGTTCAAGGCCAGCCTAAGACTCACAAACTGAGTCTCAAACAAATGAACAAAAGCTATCTTCTCTATCCTTAGCATCCTCCTTTTCCCATTTCCATTTCTTGAGGCAACAGACAGGCCCCCTGGATGCTCTAGGAGGAGATGGACGCTACTTCACGGCATGAGATGCATAAAGATGACAAGTAGTGACCAGTAGACAATCCTTCCAATCTCACTTGGCTTTCTGGAGGAGAGCCTGGAATACACAACTGCCCCAGATCCTCCGATCTGTGGCTCACCTCCAACCCACACCAAAGCTTCCACTTCAGGGCAGTGACAATGGACAGCTTCCAAGCCTTCAGTTAGCACACAGTCCACACACACCAATCCCTCCGTGGATGTGCTGGCCTGGCTGGTCACAGAGCCACCAACTATGATGGGCTGTGAGGATAGCTTTAGAAGTACCTGGATTAAGGAGAGTATTTCTGAAGAGGATCCACTGAGGCAGGGAAGATCTACCCTGAATGTGGGTGGCATTATTCCATGGGCCAGGGACATGGAAAGAACGTCTTCCATCATGTGAACTGCTCATCTCCGCTCTTGCCTCTCACCATGATGCCCCAAACCCTCTGAAAACATGAGCTAAAATGGATGCTTCCTCCCTTAGGGTATTTCTTTCAGGGATCTTGTCACAGTGACTACAAAGGTTTATTGTAGCACCTTTGACTTCCACTCAGAGAAATGCAGACACTCTCTGCCCTACTGTGTGTCCTATGTACCCTCTGAGGCCACCATCCTAAGCCAGATCAGCTGCCATTTTTTAATAACTTTTTTCCTTTTCTTTTTTGGTTTTTTGAGACAGGGTTTTTTTCTGTGTAGCCCTGGCTGTCCCAGAACTCACTCTTGTAGTCCAGGCTGGCCTTGAACTCACAGAGATCCACCTGCCTCTGCCCCCCAAGTGCTGGGATTAAAGGCGTGCACCACCACTGTCCTGCTAAGGAATAACTTCTTCACTGAAAAAGAATTCATAAATCATAAAGCTTACATTTTTCTCTATGTATTTCAGTGGATTTTAGGACAGTTACAGGGTCGGGCATCAGCCACTACCTAATTCCAGAACATTTTCATCAATCAAAACAATAAGCAAAAAGTCAGGCCAGCAAGCTGGCCCACATAAGGTGGAAAGAGAAAATCAACTCCAGAAAGCTGTCCTCTGACCTCTACACATGCACGGTGGCCTCTGCACATACGCATGCATTTGGGTGCACACACACACACACTCACACACACACACACACACACTCACACACACACTCACACACACACTAATAGTAATAATAATAATAGGGGCTGGAGAGACGGCTCAATGGTTAAGAGCACTTCCAAAGGACCTGGGTTCATTCCCAGCACCTACATGGCAGCTCACCACTGTCTGTAACTTCCCACAGATACATATGCAGGCAAAACACCAATGCACATAAAATAAAAATAAGTAAATAAACTAATAATAAATGTTAATTTTAAAAAGAGGGGTGGGAGAGATGACTCAGCACTTAAGAGCACTTGTTGCTCTTGCAAAAGACCCCAATTGGTTCCAGGCATCCACACTGTAGCTTACAGCCACCTGTGACTCTAGTTCCAGGGGATCCAAGACCCTATTCCGGCCTCCATGGGTAGGTTCTACATTCACATGGTGCACACATACGTGCAGGCAAAAACTAAAACACTTAAAATAAAAAGAAATTTACAGTGGGTGGTGGTGGCACAACCCTGTAATCGGAGCACTCAGGAGGCAGAGGTAGGTGGGTCTCTGAGTTTGAGGCCAGCCTGGTCTACAGAGTGAGTTTCAGGACAGCCAGGGCTACACAGAGAAACCCTGCCTCAAAACAAAACAAAACAAAACAAAAAACCAAAAACAAATAAGCAAAAATGCATTTGAACCTCTGGTGTTTCTTATATTTGGCTTGTTTGACTCAGCTTAATGTTTACAAGGTTTATCCAGATAGATAGATAGATAAATGATAGATAGATAGATAGATAGATAGATAGATAGATAGGTGTATGTATGTATCATTTCTTTTTTATTTGTTGTTATTACTATATTTTTTGGGGGGTACTAGGACTTGAACCCTGATCCTTGTATTTGCTAGGCAAGTGCTCTACCATTGAGCCACATCCCCAGCCCTACTTTGGTTCCTTTAATTAATTAATTTTTGTTGTTGTTTGTTTATTGGGAGGTATGCACCATTGCACCTGTGTGAAGGTCAAAGGACAATTTGGGGTCACTTCTCTCTTTCCACCGTGTGGGTTTTGGGGATCAAATTCAGGTTGTCAGGCTAGGAGCCTGGTTGCTGCCCCCCTTATTCCTTTTTAGGACCAATTAACATCCCCTTGTACTGATGGAACACAGTGTGCCCTCTTATCTGTTGATGAATACTTAGGTCTGCTTTGGCCAATCAACTGCCCCATTTTACAGATAGGGAAACTGAGGCCCCAAGCCATCATAATCTGGATGGGGCAGGAGCCTAGTCTCCTCCTGTGTCACTCTGGAAGAGCCTGGGGAACAGTTGGGCAACAGGCAGAGTAACATTTGAAACAACCTCCAGGGGGCTTCTGTGTGCTGTGAGTGCACACCAGGCCACTGCCTGATCCTTGAAGAGAGTCACACCTGTTCACTGCTCCCTCCCTAAGTCCAGGCGCTTCTTTGCTGTAGGTCCTCACTGTTCTCCATGTTTTGCTTTTATTTTTGTATGTTGTTGTTGTTTCATTTGTTTGTTTTTGAGACAAGATCTCTCTACATCTGCTGTCCTGGAACTCACTGTATAGACTAGGCTGGCCTTGAACTCACAGCAGTCTACCTGCCCCTACTTTCTGAGGGCTAGGATTAAAGTATGAACCATAAGCCCGGCGCTTTTGATTTTTAAGGATTTATTTGTTTCAGGCTGGAGAGATGGCTCAGTGGTTAAGAGCACTGCCTGCTCTTCCAGAGGACCCAGGTTCAGTTCCCACATGGCAGCTCACAACTGTCTGTAACTCCTCTTCCAGGGGGATCCAACACACTCACACAGGCATACATGCAGGCAAAACACCAATGTATATAAATTGCAAATAAATAAATTTTAAAAATATTTATTTGTTTCTATGCGTGTTTGCCTGCATGACTGCCTATGCACCTCTGGTGTGTCTGAAGAGGGAAGCCAGAAGAGGGCATCAGACGCTCTGGAACTGGAGTTAAAGGGTGGTTGTGAGGCTGCCATGTGGGTGCTAGGAACTAAACTGCGTTTGCTTTTTACTCTAGTACAATCCATTTTCAAGCTCCGGAGTCATAATGAAGCCGTGTTCAGTAGGTACTCACAGAAGCAGTGATTTGAACCTTCCAGCTAGTCTTCTTGCCAAGCCATTCTGTGTCCGCCATGGCCATGCGATAATCTCACAATGGCAGTGGCCTCATTTCCCTGGAGCCTCTCTTGTGGGCTGGGAGGTTCAGAACATTTTTCTTACACAGACCACGGCCACAAAGCCTTAAAGCCCGAGTTCCCTACAATGTCGCGCTCCAAGAAGTTAGATAATTTGCCCGAGGTTTGGCACCGGAGGAGGAACCCAGGCATCTTGCCTGATGCGGAGCCGCGTTCCTAAACATCTAAGCCACAATCTGTCACACTGGAAATGGAAGCCTCTCCCGCTTCCCACGTGCCGGGTCCGCCCACTGCTCTCTGATCTTTGCAATGTCGGCGGCCCTATTGACCCCGTTGTGAGTTATGGGGGCCGTGGGACCCGTAACCCAGCATTCTCTGACTCCCAGGGTCGGCAGGACATGGCCCCCCGCGCGGTGATGGATGAGTCGCCCCGAGGGCTGGCTTTGTCCGGATTGGGTTGGACTGAGTAGCCCGCAAGGCCGGCTAGGGACACTAGAATAGGGAGAAGCTGACTGTGTGTGTGTGTGTGTGTGTGTGTGTGTGTGTGTGTGTGTGTGTGTGTGTGTGTGTTGGGGGGATGTCTCTCTCCTTCCCAGGGGGCATAGATGAGCCATCCGTACCCAGGTGAGGTCCGATCACTTTGAGGTTCTCATGCACACCCTCTTGGTAAAGGGACTTCTCTGAGAACCTCCCCCACTCCGCGCACTTTCTCAGTCTACAAAGGCCGCGCCGCTTTCTGTCTCGCCTTCCCTGCCGCGGGCATTTCTTCCGTCCCATTTGACAGCCTAGGCGGAATAATCCTTTTGGGGACCCTGCCGGCTCCTGCCCCGTCTGACGCGGCCGCAGCTGAGCGCGCAGCCTGGATCTATTGTTGAGGGGGAGGGGGATCCGCCAGGGACGCCCCGCCGCTGCCCTTTGTTGCCCGCTGCCCCTCGGGGCCGCTCCAGATGCGCCACCGCTGCCCGGTGCCCCACCCGTCCCACGCGCCCCGGGGCCGCGCCGAGGTGGCTCTTACGCACCGGGAGGAGAGGGCCCGCCTCGCCCGGTGCCCACACGGCCGCGGGGCTGCGCCCGCCTTTGTCTGCCTCCTTTGTCTGCCCCGCGCCCTGGCGGCGGCGCCAAGGCCTCGGGGGAGCGGGCGGCGATCGGCGAGCGCAGCTGGCTAGGGCGCGGCGCCCGCAGCGCACCGGGCTCGGCCGGGCCAGGGGCTGGCCCTCGGCGGGGGGTCGCGAAGTCCCCGGCCCCTCCTACGTCCCCTCCCTGAGCGCCGTCCCCGCCCCTCGCTCCCTCCCTCCCTCGCAGCCCCGCGCAGCCTCCCGCCGCCCGAGCACCTCTCGGCGCCGTCCCGCTCCGCCCTCGGCTGCGCTCGGCTCCCGCAGGCGCTCGGCCCTGCGCCCTCGGTCCCCTCCCCGCCGGCTGGACAGGTAAGACCCGGCTCGGCCCGCCCCCGGCCCCGCCCTCCGCTCACCTGGCGGAGCGCCGGGACCAAGGTCCGCTACCTGCTCGAAGTGAGGATGCTGCCTTCCTCCCTGTTCTCCAACCTGCGTGTCGGTCTGTCCGTCTGTCTACTGTCTCCACTTCGCGCCTCGTGTCCCCTTGGCTCTCGGCTCTCTCATCGGCCTCCTGGTCTGCCCCCTGGCACCGGACTGGACACTCACTTTTCCGTACTCCGTGGCACTCTGCCTCGCGTGCGACCTTGCGTCCCCCTCGGGGTCCCTGGACTCGCGCGCGATCCTCCACACTAGCCTTCTCCCTTTGGGACCCGGTGTCTTTTTGTCTCTGTTTCTGGGTGATCTCTCAGTTGGGGGATTCGTCCATTACCGTTGAAAGAAGTCTTCAGAGACTCCCTGAGCCGGGGCAGAGCCGGCCAGGGTGCCTCTGTCCCGTTCGACGACGCCCTGGAGGCTGGGTGTGTTGGGGCGGGGGACGCTAAGCTCTCCCAAAGCTGTTACAGCTCGGTCTCACATTTTCCCACCCTGGGCTGGACTAGTGTTGCTCTACCACCCCAAGAGCACCCGGCTCCCTTCTCTGGACGGACTTATTCCTCTCCTTCCCCACCGCGGGGCTTTTCTCCACCAGACCCGAGGCTCAGCTGCCTTCCTAAGCCAGAGCTTATGTTTAAGGTGTGAGTGTGCCTGGGTTCCCCTGACAAGTTTTGTCTGGCCACCTCAGCTGGATACTCTCTTGGCCTTCACTCTTTCAGGTGGTGGTCCTTGTGGCTGTTGGTTGTCCCTCTAGGGTGCCTGAATCTCCGTCTGGTAGCAGACAAGTTGTTCTCAACTGTTTCATTGCTGTTACTCTGATTTTGCGCAGACAGGGGTTCTGGAAGTGAGCAGTCTTGGACAAAGGAGTGCATGTCTGAGCCTCAGTATCCGTCATAAAACAGGGACAATAGGGTTTACCTGTCGGGATGTGTGCCTGTATCTTAGGTATCTCCATGGTGCTGGTGGGGGTGGGAGAGGGACTTGTATCTTAGGTATCTCCATGGTGCTGGTGGGGGTGGGAGAGGGACTTTACAGTCCCTGGCTGGGGTAGGGGTGGGGGTTCCACAGAGCCTGTCACAAAGTCCAGCCTTAGAGACGTCACCACCATCGGAAACCCTATTCTCTCACTCTCCCTGCCACTCCTGTTACACTCCCACCAATCCCCTGCCTGTCCACACAACCAGCCACACTTACAGCAACCTCTCCCCCTGCACAAACAAGGTGGTGTGACTGTAAGGATGCTGCCAACGCCCGCAGTGCATTGGAAGTGTCTGTGGCACTAGTCCCAGCTCTGGACCTCTGTCTTGCCCCCAAGCCTTGTTCCACGGTGCCAGCCAAGAGCCGTGGCATTTCCCTTCTTCTGGTAGACTGACTTGTCAAGTCCTGAACCTGCTTCTTAATCCCTCGTCCCGCCCCGATTCATCATCTGTGTGGTCCATGGTCCGAACAGGTGTTAGGCTGACCCTGGAGCCCAACAGTGATGGGGCCCACGCAGCAGAGAGGGCAGCTCTGGAGATGCAGCCTTCTCTCAGTAGGCAGCTTGGAGGCTGCCCGGCTGTTTTTGTTTGCACTGCAGCCTGTGTTTTTCTTGCACTGAGGTGAGAATGGAGATGGGGGCCTTCCCCTGCCCTACCCCATCCAGACTCCTGCTCCTGCCTGGCACATGAGCCCAGCTTTAACTGTTCTGGCCTCTCCCACCATCTCTGTTCCTGTAGCCTCTGGTCACAACCTACAGGAAGCCAGCTCAGCAGTTCTTGTAACCACCCCCCTCCCTCCCCCTTAGGAAGCTTACTCAGACCCTTCTTGCCTCACTAAATGAAGATGACGCCTCCTCCTCAGTCTTCCCAACCCCAGGCCTTCCTGGCTCCAAGTGTGGCCATTAAATTAACTACAGAAACCTCTGTTGGCCCATCCTCCCCCTCGGTCTTTCCCCACAACCCCATCCACACCCTAGGTTTCAGCAGCAATGGAAGGCAGAAGTGTCTATGTCCCTGACTCCCTCTGAGCCATGCTAGGGTGGTTTCCTCCATCTACATTGTCTCTCAGTCCTGCGTTCAGGCCTGTCTTTGCAGACTAAGATCAGATGTCTTCTTCTAGGTGAAGCCTCCTGCTCTGCTGGCCCCTGTGTCTCTCATGACCCCAGGCCTGGTGGAAGAGTATCTCCTTTGCCTACACAGGCACTGGGTCTCCTTTCAGTGTGGTCCCAGAGCCTGACACCCACCAGGTGCCCTGCACATCTGGCATCCTTGGTCAAGATGGCAGGCATAAATGGCCGTAGCTACGTAGACTACAGGCCATAGCTTCTCCCTGCATTCTCCTGGGTCCTGCCGGCCTGACTAGGGGCACAGCTGGCTCCAGGGCAAGGACTTTGGCTGGAGACAGAGCAAGCCACCAGGAAGCCCCTGTGTTTCTGGGGCTGTGCAGAGAGCTCTGGAAGATAAACCTGACCTCCTTTGTGCTTGATCATCACATGCAGTCTGCCTTTGCATCCCAACTGGCCACTGAGCTGCTGTGCCAGTCAGAGTAATGTGGAGCGTGGTGGGGCTATGCACTCAGGCCTCAAACTCTGGGAAGAGCAGAGGTCCCCTCCAACAGTGGCCCTGGGCATGGTCCCTGGCAACAGGTCATTCTGGCATCCCTGTTCTGGTCCATTTGTCTAGGATCTGCCTCTATCTTGTCTGGCCTCCTCCTTTGCTGGTCCCATTCCAGTGCTCCCTCTACAGCTGTGGCCAAGGTACAGCTGGCCTTCCCTGCAAGGTCACTGGGGGGCAGCCAAATGCTTGCTGCTAGAGGACAAGCTTCCTAGGTCCAGCTTTGACAACCCTTGCCACATCATGACATAGCAGTCACCAGATGGTACACTTCATTGCTAGAGTGAGGGATAGGAGGATGGTGATGAGGATGGTTGCCCCTGCTGGAGTTCAGAGCAGGAGGAGTGGATGAGGAGGATCTTGTAGATGTCATCTCTATGCTGGGTGCTGAGTGAGGCCCCCAGCACACATCCCTGATAATCACAGCAGCTATTCTGGAACTGGTTGAGAACGGAAGCTTCAGGGGGTTAGCAAGATGGCTCAGCGGTTAAGAGTATGTGTTGCTCTTGTGGAGGACCCATGTTTGATTCTCTACCTACATGGCAACTTACAACTGTCAACTCCGGTTCCAGAGGACTGGATGCCCTCTTCTGACTTCAATGGGCATCAAGCATACCTGTGGTGCACAAAGATATGTGCAAGCAAAGCACTAATACACACACACACACACACACACACACACACACACAGAAAAACTTTAATCACGCTTGAAGAGTGGTTAGAGTAAATGGGTCAGGTGACTATGGGCTCAAATCCTGGCTCTACTGCTTCTTCTAACATGTGGGTTGGGCTAGTAGTCCCTCAAATCTTTGTCTTGACATAACTGGTATGGCTATTTTAGTCAGGTGAATGACTGATTGATTGATTGATTAATTGAGACAGGGTCTCATTATGCAGCCCTCGCTGGCCTAGAACTCACTGTAGACCAGGCTGGCCTCCAACTCACAGATCCACCTGCCTCTGCCTCCCAAGTGCTGGGATTAAAGGCGTGTGCCACCACATTCAGCAGCTTTTTTTTTTTAAGATTTATTTTTAGTTTTGATTATGTGTATTCATGAATGCAGGTGCCCAAAGAGGCCAGAAGCATCAGATAGCTCTAGAGCTGGAGTTACAGGTGGTTGTGAGCTGCCCAACATGGGTGCTCAGGTGCTCTGAAAGAACAGCAAACACTAACCACTGAGCCATCTCTCTAGCACTTTCTATGGTTATTACTATCTGAAAAATTACATCTTCAAAGGACTGAATTAGATAATGGATATAAATCTCTAGGCCTAGAACAGAGGAAGCTCAGCAAATGATACACAAACAATCATGTTTAGTGTTCAGATGTGTTATTGACATCCAGAGAGGTTCCTTGGCTTGCTTGGGGTCACACAGCTGTTCAGTGCTGTAGCCAAGATTCTCAAACAACCTTGTCTGACTCCGCGTGTCTTTTCGCTCTACTCCTGCCTCTGTCAGAACCCAACAGCCAGTGTTGTCGCTTGAAGAGTAAATGAAGCATCTGAGCAAGTAGCAAAACATGTTCAATAGTCTAGGTACCAAGGCAATGAAGGTTCTGGAATTTAGGGGTTGAGAGATTTAGGAGAGGAAAAATCGTTGAGTGCCTGTGATTATGAAGGAGCTGAGACCCAGTCTGCGTGAGTGAAGGAGCATGAAGCTGAGTGAGGACTCTGAGATGCCCCTCCTCTTCCATGCAGCTTTTCTGAGGTGTGAGCAGGGTGTGTGTGTGTGTGTGTGTGTGTGTGTGTGTGTGTGTGTGTGTGTGTGTGTGTGTGTGTATGTGTGGTGTGCGGTATGTGTGGGGGGTGGGGGGTGTTTGTGTGGTGTATGTGCATGTGTGTGTTTAGCTTATTTTTGTCTTTATCTGAGGCAAGAGTCCTATCCAAGGCTGACCTCAAGCTTGTATGTAGCAGGAAGCAGAGGCTTGGCAATGCCATGCCAGGGTTACTTCATCTCTGTGAAAAGAAGATGGAGGAAGGAAGAAGGAGTCAGGCAATTGAACCCCACTTTAACTCATCCTTAGGATCTTTGTGGAAGTACAGAAATGCCCCATCAGAAATGGTTCCCACAAGAAACATTCTCTGGCTAAGCAAGGTAGCACAGGTCTTTAATCCCAGCACTCAGGAGGCAGAGGAAGAGCTCTGTGAGTTCAAGGTCAGCCTTAGCAAGTTCCAGGCTAGTCAGCGCTAGATAGTCAGACCCTGTCTCCAAAACAAAAACAAAACTCAGCCACATCATCTGCCTGACGCAGATGGGTCTGACGGTATGGCCGCCAGAGAGCGCCTGTGCTGAAATAGAGAACCCTGCAGCAGAAACCCAGGGCGGGCTGAAGACCAGGGTGGTGGAGCA